AGCACCCAAAACAAACCTCACTGGATGGTCCCAGCTGGTGGTGTGTGGGGTATGCTTGATTCCTGGAATTAGGGCTAGGTTGCAGGGGAAAAACAGCTTCACCTTAGCAGGTGTGTTTCCTAAGAGTTCCCTGCACAAACTGAGACTTACCTCTACACTGTTTTTGGCATCTTTATTCCAGCCCCAGGGTTCACAGCTGTTTCCTGGAGCATCCATGTGTCCCAGTGTGGGTGCCACAGGCTGAAATCAATGTGCAGCGATGGCACGGAGAGGCCTCCTTGCTCTGGAACCTACCACAGACAGACAGACAGCACCTGGGATGTGATCTGTGGAGAGAAGAGGAGCACTCTTGGTGGAAGCCAGATGACCCAGGAACCTCTCCTGAGGAATCTGCAAACCAGCACAGAACTGCAGAGCACTTCTCCAGCTGCTTTTTGCCTCTGCAAGCTCCCACTGAGCCACTGGAAATGACCCAAAATTTTTGCTGCAGCCTCAGGACTTACTTGTGCCAGCTGCTCCCCACAACTGTGGGGTGTCCTGGGCACCCTGCTATGAGCTGTAAAATGGAAGGAGCAAAGAGATGCTCATCCCTAAAGGGACACTTGCTCATCCACAAATAGTGAAAAGAAACACAGCAGGTGCAGGGGGTAAATCAGCTCTGAAGGACCACTTCTGCTGTTTCCGTGGAAAGGGAAGGACTTGGGATAGAAAGTAGAAAAAAAGACTTATCCCCAGGTAGCACCGGTCACTCTATGCTGCTCTAAGGGTTAGACTAGCTGAGAAGAGTTCTCACTGCTGCTGAAATAGGTCAGACCAGATTCATAAAGCATCACAGACGCAGCCAGTTCTGCATCCTCCAGTGTGCACCGCAGAAAGGCATTAAATGTGTGGCAGTGTCCAGGCACATTTTGCCTCAAGAGCCCTGACACCAAAATGCATAAAAGTGACTCCAGCACATGAGCGAGGACGTGGTCACAGGGCTCAAGTCGTTCCTCAGAGACCGTGAGCAAGGGCGTGAGAGCAAAATGAGAGACGCCATGATCCTCAGGGTATCTCAGCCTCGCAGAGAAATTGTGACTACAGCCTTGGAGATACAGCTGGGCTGTTTAAGAACACTGAACATCAACAGCTGACCCACACCTTTATGAGTCACGTCCACAGCTGATGTCCATAGCTCCCTCAGATGCTAGAGTAAAGCTCAGGCTCACCCAGGCTGTGTCTTTCCCTGAACTGCTCCCTTTCGCAGTGAAAGCTGGCAGAGCTGGGCCCATGGCCACCTCGTGAGCTTGTTGCAGGGTCCCTCAGTCAAGCGCAGGGCAGGAAGGAAGCTGAGACCCTTATAGGATCTCTATAGCTGAGACTCTTACAGGCTGTTTCCAACCTTGTGATTCTATGATTCAGTCGGTTCCTTGCTGCTCACTCCCATCAGAAAGGTCCACGCACTCCTTGGGAAGCACAAAGCCACCTGGGGAAAACAGAAAGCAGGAACAGGCCATGCAGGTGGCTA